GATATTAAGTATAACAACTATATATAAAATTTCAATTATATAAATACATGTAAGATATCAGTTAAATAAAACAATTAAACAAGTCGGGTAAATAATTTTAAGCCCTTATACTTGTTGCTTGACTTGTTAATTACAGATATACTATTTTTATACTCATTACTTACCCAATTTTTTTATGTACTTACCCAAATAAGTAAAGGATATACCCATACCCAATGCTCACCCCTAATTCTATGATATGATATGAAATGAATATAGGCATTAGATAACCTATTGACTAAGACACCCTAGATTTACCATAAAACATATAATATTAAATCTAAGATTTACTCTCATAATTATATGAATCATATATTATAATATCTCTATCACCTAAGTGAGGAATACAATTATTTCTCATTCATCACTTAGTTTCCTAAAAAATCATAACATTAAAGTTTAATTATTCCTAAGGAAGAAAGGTTATCAAATTTATCCCTTTTTTTTTTTTAATTTTATATAGTTACAACAAGGAAATAGACTCCCTACAACCGAACAAGCATAAGGAAAAGGGTCAATAGGAGAAAAATAAAATCTTGCCTTTTTCAATCCCACCCTACTCTGCCTGGTACTCAGACTACTATCGACATTCTTACAGTTAGCGTTGTCGTCGAAGTTTTTGCAGGGAAAGTTGGTTTTGGCCTTCATGCCGCGCAACTGGCGGGCGGCATTATCGTAGGCCAGGGCAGCTTCCTCGGCAGTATCAAAGGTGCCAAGCCAAACACGGATATTCCTCCTCGGATCTCTGATCTCGGCGGCGTAACGTCCCCACCGACGCTTCCTCACTCCCCTGAAACGAATCTCCTTGCCGGTTGACAGTGATTCCTGCTTGTAATTGCTACACTTTGTTAACCCCGTGTTGCTATGACAGGAGGACCTCTGTTCCTGAATGAATTCAGGTATTGCCATGCTGAATGGTTTCTTCTGTAACTTTAAATTAAAACAGAATAAGTTAAAAATTAGAGAATGGAAGAAAATAAAATGGAGAGAAATTATATAATTTGTTTACCCTGCGTTCCTCCAATTGAAATTGAAACTCCTCCGCCTCCTCTTCTCCTTTTCCATTTCCGTCTATTTCCGAAGCCTCGAATGGCTGAGAAATTGTGTTCATTGCACGACCTTGATTGTAGTTTCCTGCTAAAAGATAAAATACACAGATTTACTAAGGATCTAGAATCCAAATTTGAAACAGATCTACTACTACCTATGCGGAAGCTGAAGGAGGGTGGTTGACTCGTTGTTTGGAAGATGGACAAGGTTGAAACTGGTTCCAACTTGTAATTGCTTTTATTGCACGGAGATCAAAGGGGCCGAGAAACTTTATTTATTTACTTATTTATATATAATTCTGCTGATTATTTGAGTCATTGAATTTCCTTTCAAGTATCAATTTAGTCCATTAACAAAAAATCACAACAAGTTACCTTCCATGAGGTAAGTGGTTCATTCACAACCTAAAAAAAATATTGATAATTTTCTTTTAATTAAAATAAAAGTTTTTGAGTTTGAATCATGAGGTGAGAAAAAAAAATTATATCCTATTATATAATATAAAATAAAAAAAATTTAAAAAAAAGAAGTTATCTTTCACAAGTAATAAGAGGAAAAAGTTTTGAACTAAAATCATGTAATATACAAATAAAATGAAATATCATACTATCAATTATGTGCTCTAGTTACAAAATTATTTATACCTTTAATCATAAGGTTAGAGTTTAATTTATAGTATTTACCTATAAACAAAATATCACATTATTCAAAGTACCTTCAAGACCCTATCCACCACTCTCTGTCCCAATCTTTGGGCTCTGTCCCAATCTTTCTTTGCTCTTATTCTCGCCTCTATCCCCGCAGAAGTTAAAAAGCATGAATAAAAGTGAGACATTCTCTCTGTTAAAGATCATCACCGACAACCTATAATAGAAGGATAAGCACATATAGCCAAGTCAACACTAGGGAAGAAAAGAAAAGACAACTGTAAAGTAGAATATAATAATAAGGTTAATGATACAAGCAACATGAAATTTTGCTCAAATACCAGTGAGCTATGAGCGAGACTTATTTGGGTCATGTTATAAATGCCATGGCTAATCCTATTAATGGTCAGAGGTGAAATTTCTACTTCTGAATTTCGGATAATTGATTCTCATGCTCCAGGTTTAATGGCAAGACATTCTGTCTATGAGATAATTTTTTATATAATTTTTATATTATTAAATAAATAAATACGTATTATATTCTGGTAGTTAATTTAATTAAAAAATAAAATATTAAATA